AACAAATGTCAGATTTATTCAATCCTAAGCAATAATAATAACCGAACAAAACAGTAATAACACCGAAACAGTAGCAGTAATAATGAAAGAACAGCAATAATAATATTATTATTGCTATTATTATTGATGATAATAATAATCACAGCGATTTCTCAAACAGACCATCGAGTTTTTTTTGATCGCATTTATTAACTGTAAATGATTGAGGCACTTGACCAATTATCGCATTTACTAGCAATTTGCGCATGCGTCGTTAATCTCGATCATAGTATCTTATGAAGGCACGCAAGCAATACTTAACGCTACGAAACGTACCGCTAAAGTTTACTTAGGATTATGCAACGGTGATTAGTTGTGAATATGTCGTGATTCAAAGAGATAGCGCGATCAATTTTCACCATTGGTGAGCAATATTCGGGTCATCGTGACGCTTTTACATCACGCCAATAACAGCTGAACTCAATTACACGAGCACATAACAAATTTCGAATCAATTCAGTGCTTCTTCGAATTTCCTGAATGATTTGATTCAGTGATGATAAAACATGCAATCATATAATTTTTTGAGATACCATAAGATGGTGTGTTGACAAGATAAATTGACTACCGACCGAGATTGACTACCAAGAACAACGTACAGTCCTTAATCGTTGTGATTTTCCACTGTGGATGCTCGAAGTCACAGAAATGAAATGCAAACACCCCCGATATTTTGTCGATAGCATACAACGAAGGGACTGCTTCCTTAAACTCCCAACTCCAAATGGCATTTGACAAATAATCGGGACATTGCTGGACTCCGCTAACGTGACTTCTCCCGTTAAGGTATCTCGTAGAGACCAGCACCCGTATTGAGATGATCTAATTGCTTGTTCGCCAAAGTCGATCAGTTTTTTCTTTTGAAGAGAAATATTCTGTGGTCCCTTTATTGAATGCATTAAAATTCATTTTTTATTTGCAAAACTTGCAATACCAAAATACTGCATTCATTGTATTCAGTAATGATTTGGAGATTACGGTAGACTGAAGTGAATTGTTGAGCGTTAAAGTGAGCATTCAATCTCAGTGTATGCAAGATAATCATCAACGTAAGAGAATTAGAACAAGTTAACAGTACTGTCACTCTTCTGAGGTCAATTTGCTTTATTCTGATTGAATGTTTGCAGTGTTTTCGTATTAAGACAATACATTAATACAATTCAAGTGCTTATTATCACTTCTAATTTGCACTTTTCATTTGCACATTGTTACATGCAAACATATGTAAAAACACCTCTAGTAGTAATCATCGTATGGTAATAACAGCATTCACGCCAAAGATAGCAATCGTGATCAGCACTTCGCAATAGAAACAATAAGCAGTGTTTATTGATAACCATAATAGACGTTCAATCACCTCATTAACACCACTAATTACATTAATTGTCACTCGCTGTCTTCAGCATAAATTCCCATAATTTATGAATTCACCACTGACACGGCCAATTTGCTTGGTCTGTTTGTTGAATTCGAATAGTAGAATGCAAAAATTCTTATTATAGATCGCAAATCTATTTTGCGTTAGCTGTCAAAAACTTTCATTTGAGCTGAACGATTAGAAAATTCGCATTCGCTGATCAGGAATTTCATTCTGTTGATATTTTCTAAAGCAGAGAGATCGCTTGCACAAGGACACATCCTTGCTAACAGTCAGCAGGATAGCTCATTCAAATATCAATCGCTTATCATTTCGTAAGAAATATTAGTGATAACTATGATAATGATAAGAACGTTAATGATGGTGACGGTTGAAATGGAATGTATAATGCGGCACAAAAAGCGATTGCTTGCTTGGTTAGCACAACGAATGATTTGTGAAAGGCCGCAAAATCGAGCCGTGTGATTGAACAAAGCAAAATGATCCAATTTACGATTGCGCATTCGCATGGGTTTATGCAACTCAAATTTCGTCATGTTGACTTGTGGTGCATCAGCGTGTTACAGTCTCGAGCCAACGTCTAATTAGTGCTCGTTTATCGTAGAGCCGACGAGAATGTGGAAACGAAATTTGAGTACCTGAACGCATCATCATCAGTTGATGCTGGAAAGCCAATTAGTTTACATGATTTGCATTTCTACNATAAACAGCACATTATCACCGTCAACGTATGCATGCAGGTGCATCACATTCTATACTCTTCAATTCTAATCACCTCATTCATACGCACTTAACATTACCTACCGTAGTCGTTTCTTCAGAAGCGTTTATATGCAAATGATGCATGGGCGTGACCGAATCAACTCAACAATGCTGTTCTCGTAGCCTTCATACTGTGCAGTTGTTTGAGGATACGACAAAAAAAGGTGGTAGAATGTCATTGGATTCCCTAAGGGACTCAGCAAATATCCGTCACCAGTAGCGGCTGCCTTCTGTGTGTCATCTCACATTTCTTGTCGATCATATTCTATGCACTTTAATCTCGCTCGTGTTCGCGATATGATCTCCGTTGACGATTTGACACCGTTTAGTTGCGATTTATATATTCGATACTCACCAAAGAGCACTTCTCGATTTTCGTGATTGTTTATCCAACATTGTTTTATCGAAATTCGATCGATTCTTCGAGAAATCAGATCAGTGAATGAGTAGGAAGGATTGTTGTGCGCGTGCAGTGTGATGAAATGCAATTGCTTCTCGGCGCTTCATTAATTTGGTCATGAAGGGATTGCAACGAACATTCTGTATTGCTGACTGCAAGCCCGGAAAAGTGATAATAACTTCTTCAAAAAGCAAATTTAGTACAGAAACAGTGTGGAAGCACGTTTTGGTTGTCAAAACTGCATTCTATATTGTGTTGTAGCAAAAATTGTGTGAATAAAGCCAAGAATTTCATACAGAATCGAATTTCTACTCTTCACAGCAAATTCTTGTAATTGATGCACTGAAAGATTTACGATACATTTTGGCGTAATACTTTATCAGATATCGACCATGAAATGAAATGTTTTTGTGAATTGAATGCACTGTGTTGATATCAAACAGTAAGCAGTCATTACATCAATTGCAAGAATTAAGTGAGCTATCTTTGCCTAACTCAACTTCAAGTAGTCTACAGTTCCTAGCAGTTACCAATTGTTCTTGACTAAACACCTCTCACATTTTTAGCCCTGATGAAACGGTTAAGGTTCCCATAAAACTTTCTAAAAGTTCCAGCGATCTTTAGTTGGAGTTGTTTCCGATGCAATCTGATTGGAAAATAAACTGAACTTATGAAGGATGAAGCAAAGAATCACGAAAATAATAGAACAACTATTAGAAGTATTAAATGTGTCTGAGATTTGAACAGATCTTTCTTTGATGATTACTGACTTCAGATTCACAAAAGAGTGGTATCGATAAGGGCACGAATGGAACATTGCGAATCATTTTTGTTCCGTTTAAGCTCACCCTTCTCGCCCGATCAGGTGAAGCATAATGTAATTTTTAGCTCATTTGTGATATAATTTTATGAGGCACCATAAGATGGTATGATAAGGTAAGTTGACTATCGACCAAGACCTTCCTGTTGTTCATTCGTATTCGTTTGCTTGGTAATCGTGTAGAAGGCGAAGTATAAGACGTGCACAAGCTCAATCACCTTCTGCATGACACTTGTTTCCGAAATTTTAACGTGAAAACTTTCATCTAACAGGACTCAATTCATAATGGCAATAGTTGAACTGCGAACATCAGTTGACCTTAGGAACAGTGTAAATTAAGGAAAACAGAATTGTTTTTCACAGACCGTTTTTACACAATAGCAGTTTGGGCTCGTCAGAACTATTAGCATTCAACTGAAGAGTTGACTGAATAAATTGGAGAAAACAACATGAAGGTCGATCCATTTCTGGAGCGTCACCCGCCCAAGTGATCGAACAATTATTCAGTTTCACAATCAGCAGCTGTATCGCGTATTTTTACGAAAATTTTCAATTGCCACTTTCAGATTGATTGCATTTGCGAAGCACTTTATCAAGCTCGAGATGGCGATAAACTCGTGGAGTTATTTCGTCCAGATATTCAAAATATCATGTTCTATCGTTGTCGATACTCGAGTTCTATTTTAAGAGCCTACCTCTACACACTGTTTCACTCTCGGCGTTTTGATGAACTTTTTCAGGTAATTCGCGTTTGATGTATCTTCTTTAAGAAGCGATTGCTGATAATACTATAAATGACTATCAAAATATCAGTTAATGTGAAAATTTTGGAGAAGCTGTGAGCTCATATGATTCAATCAGATAGATCATTGGATTGGAAATTCATTAAACTTAGCAAATATCATGATAAGGGGAACGAACAGGATGCAATTAATCACTGAAATACCAAATTTAGATTCACTGTTGAAAAGAAGCATGGATCGATTTGCAGATGCATAAGGAAATTTGATTACGAAACCCCATTTCACATTTATAGAGAGGGTGTTACAATTTAACAGGATACTAGAGAGACATTATGTGCCGTATACTATAGGAGCCTAGCGTGCCGCATACTGTAGTGTTTGAGGCTAGTTATGTTCTACTGATAGTTCCTAGTTTGTAGGCAATTACGACAAACACTTTCGAACCGAGGTACTTCGAGGAGCTGCAAGATTTATGGTATAAGGCTCGATACGCTGAGGTATTTTTTGTTGTTTCCAAAAAACTCATTTGAATTTTGTCTGTATGATGAGAATCTCATTTGAGATTTGAAAAATCATTTGACAAAATTTTGTTGATAAAATTTTCAAACAATCACGCTAAGTGTTCAATATAATTTTATGATTTATATTAATAGATAGAACATCTTTTCATGTTGTTTGTCAACTTTTCAATTCAACAACTCTTCACAAATAGCGAGTTTAAGTCAAGGTTAACGTTATATGCGAGCTGTTCGCGTCGCAAATGTGATACTTCCAACGAACAAGTGTTTCTTTGCTAAATGAGAACTAAATGAGAATTTTCAGAATGAGCAGAGGCGTCAAAAAGAGTTGGGTGCAGTTGAGAAATACAGACTAAGAAAGAAGCATCCTCCACCAAGATCGATCTGGGATGGACAAGAGACTATCTACAGTTTCAAGGAAAATGCCAGAAAGGTTAGGAGGCCGCTCATCTTGGATTATCTTTTCATTTTATTCATGCGTTCATTGCTACAGATCATTGATTCAACTGTGAACTGAAAATAGAGCAAATCCGAATGAATGCTTCTGGATGAGATGAATTTATGTCCGTCGAATTGCTGCACGGATAGTGAAGAAAATCAAAAACGATAGTGAAGTGAATAGCGATTCAATTTTAGCAGTTTCATTCGATAGGTCTCCGTATGGTGTTGATACTTCTTTTAAATCACACAAATCGACTGCACTCCAGAATTTGCGATCCTCACCGTTTTTGTCTTGACAATTCAAAAAAAAANAAAAAAACGGATCTTCCCATCATTGTTTCGATTTTTCAAAAAAAACAAAATAGTTTTTATTCAGCCAATAGCATTACTTGCTGATGTCTGTCATTTGTTGACGTGGCAGCTATTGTGCGTGGTTGACGAAAGGTTTAATGTTGAAATCGTCGAATAGAAACAGACATAACTTCAGTCTTTACCAGATGGTCGGCTAAAATTGTGCTCGAGTTGATGAGTGCTTATTCTAGTGTCAATTCAGGCTTTAACTCAGCTTGCACAGGCAGCATCTTCAAGCTGATGTTGGCACTCTCATATACGCATGCATCGATATTTCGCCATCATTTAATTTTTCGAACATTTTAATTTTATTCTTTCGAATGTGAACCTTAATTCGAAAGTATTTGAAGGTCTTACGACAGTTCTATAAACGAAATAAATACCCGACATTGGAAGATAAGAAAGAGATTGCGCGAATTACCGACCTACAGATTGTTCAGGTTTGTTTTAAGTTTTTTCATCAAGAAATTCTGCTAGTCCATACAACTAATAAACGTCATCAAAACGTCAAACGTCAACCTGAAAACGTCATCGATGAGAAATGAACTTTTGTGTTGTGCGAATTTCAATGCAAAATTTCTTAACCTTGCAAGTTTCACGCCGAAATGAAAAATACCAAAAAACAGAAGCATTATAGATGATGTTTTCCAAAACAAAACCAGATGGTATCTTTCTAGTAGAGCCCAAATCAGAATAGGACATCAACCACACGCAAAATTCTCAATGGATTTAATTGCAGATTTCAAACTGGTTCAAAAACCGACGGCAACGTGACAAATCGTCCTCAGATAGATTCTCGCCACCCGCGCAACTTCATTTTGATACTTTGCTCATCTAGAAGCACTTTTATACAATTCTATTCTTACAAGAGCTATTGAATAAATGAAAGCTATACTTGAATCGAACACCAAAACATCTTGCGAATCGAATTGCCTTTCATGCTTTCTCGAGCTCATTACAACTAACCATTGCATGAACAACGATTATGTCACTGCAAATTCAGCTACTATTACAGAGATATGTATAATTTTTCGACAACATGTACACTTTTAGTAATGAATCTAATGACGTGAGTATGTCGTTGTGGTCGGAGGCAAATCTGAACACACAGGCAGCTTGAAGTTGATGATCCCATAATACGCAACAAAAGAATTGTACATTTGCGTATAGTTTACGAATTCGTTCAGCTATATTACGATGGGATGGATACCTATAAAATTACAGTTAAATCTTAAAAACTGAGCATTATTTGTAGACAACGTTTACACTTTTCTCATTCTAGAGGATTCGCTCTATCGGGTTCGCTCATTTTAAATCGATTATAATGGCACTGAGCATAGTGGCACGTTGGAAGTGGTGCTCGAAATGCTACCATGATAGTGGTTAACCTAAGGATCAAATGATCAAATCGTTCCTATGCGATGTTGTATTATTCTTCAAATCGTCAAAATCAAACATGCCTCACCGACAAAATCTTTATTGCCGAATATGTTGCACAACCAATTAGGATTCGAGAAAAAAGCAACAGAAGTGATTCAGTTGCAAATAACCGCATATAAGAAGCGTAGCGTATAACGGAATTTCAGAGTGTTTTCATTTGAAATTGCGAAAGTGCTACATGAAATTGAAATATGAATGAAACGATATTTGACCGATTGTTTTTAGCACAATTTCCGACGAACAATTTAATTCACTTATCAAAATATAGCACCATAAAATCACAGTTCAATAACACCACTAAGAAACGACTGCAAATATAATGTTAAAAGATAGATTTTAACCGGGTTAACATTTGTAATTAGCTTATTAACATATAAAGATGAGCACAATTAATGAAGCTGTTAGTGAGCAGTCATAGGTTTCAAGGTGAGCGAGAATGAAGACACAATATTAGTGATATATGTAGAGGATTTTATGCAGAATACTGAATAGAATCATAATTACAGGTGCCAATCAGGAATGATCAACTCAAATGTGTTGAGTTAATAATGCTGATTAGATCTTTGACAGTTGGCGGACCTAAGGTATGACGTCTTCTCTCGAATCGCTGCGATGCGTGTAGAACATGGATATCAGGTGCAGCTTTAGCACGAAGACTTCGTTGACGATTGAAACGAATCTCACGTTCTTCAGCAGACTGCATGCAATTCATGTTCAAGCATTACGATCAAAACGCTTTTGATTTTATGTGACCACTTATCTCAAATGACACGTTAATACTTGCATCTTACTCGCTTTCAAGCAAAAGTTGCGAGTGAGCTTTAACTAGAGATTCAATGATATCCCTGTAGTTGTCGCACCTAAGCCAAGTGTGACAATCCGGTCGTATGAAAGACCATAGCGTGTCACATCAAAGTGCATTCTGATCCCTACATCCTTATTCTTATTTGCATATCCTTATCCTGAAGTTTAACAATGGCCAAACCAATCAACGCTCACTTTGATGGCATTTTCGAAGAGCGTAAACGCGTTCCAAAAAACATCCAATATGGCTTCAATCGAAAACGTTTCCGCACAATAGAAAACACATAATTTCTTCTCACAAGATCGTGCCTCGCGAAGTATTTTTGCTAAATGATCACATTTTGTGATGGAGTCCTGAAAAGAAATTTTATAATCACGTTTATTCTATAAACCTAATATTACTGCAAAAATTCTCGCTTGCTGACGTCTTCCACATGGAACTTCGATGGGAACTCGGTTTCACCGCGTTCTTTGAGAGTAATGATATCGATGGAGAATTAAAGATCAGAAACAATTAAGGATCCCGTCACTGCAGTACACACTTCATAACTAGTAATGAAAGGCTCAGAATCGAACATTTCATTCTGATTTCTCTATGAATGAACGTTCCTCATCAAGAATTATTGAAAATGAACCATTAAAAGCGGAGAATAACGCCTGAATAGCTCTTCGTCACCGCACTCATTCACACGTTTCCGTGTGTTCTCGATGGATGCCCTGAATGTTTTTTCCCATCGTTCCAATTCTTGCACTGAACATCCCCTTCAAACGATTTGTTCATTCAGTGAAGTCTTTCTTTGCCTCACAATCATCATCAACTATTACACGAATAAGCTTTAATGCTAATTTCTCACTTCATTCATTAATTGATAATGCTCACAGTGCTAACTTCACACCAATACAATACTCACTGGCCCGCTCGCCTAACCAGCGAGGTGGCGTAAACTGAGGCTAAAACAATGTGCACGGAAACGCGAGCATTGTGGCCAGCAACGTTACAAACGTTTGATAGCCTACTTGCCAATCCAGGTAAACAATACTCACAATCAGCTGATTTACTTTCACCTCTGATTGATTATTCTCGGAATGATGCAAATGTCTCATGTAAAACTGAGTGAGCCTTCAAGCAACATGCATTCAAAATGCTCCAAACCTCGTCGGTCGAATGCGAGCAATGAGTGGAATGACGCTTCGTAAGTTCTCATCGGCACTCTCGGCAACGATATCAATAAGACGTGTACGTTCATATTGACCTCTACCTTTCGCGTTCAGTGTACTCAATAATGAACTTAACGCAAATCCGCTTGCACCTGCTGCAAACGTCGACTGCAATTTTTAACATTCACATTTGCTCAGTCTGTAATCAGCACGAATTCTCATCCATTTATTGATATTGTTCAATTCACAGTAGCGTTTTTCTTGTCCTCCACTCAGTCATCATCTCAAAACTTTTTAAGCACAATGTGCACCTATGAAACGCGTTTATGCGAAGCTGTCTCTTGAAAGTCGATAGGGTATTGAAGTGAATGGAATAAAGTGAGAGGTTATTTCCCACAATAGATTCATGAATAGCATAAATTATGCTTCGTGAAGCCATAACACTCACTGAGGTCATGGTCAAGCCTGAGGTCACAAAATGACCTTAGTGTACATTTTTGTTCTCCCACACTGAAAACCATTTTTTTCACATGAGCTCAATTTCTTATCATCATGAAACGAGCACTTTCAACGGAAAACTTGCGTCGTTTGAGGATAGATCCATGCAATTTAAATTCCAATGGTAATTTATGCTATGAGATCCGAATAGATACTGAAATATACGTACGGATCATTACCTGATTGAGAAAATTGCCAAACTGAAGACATCGATGCAAAAACAGAATAACCCCCTTATGATTTTCAAGTTCCTGAGATGCGATCAGTATGGATCGTGCACATTGAGTTTGTCGACTTAACTAAAAACAATCACGGATACTTAACGGAATCAAATTCTTTCGGGCTTAAGTGCAATTTCACATGTTCAATCCACATGTGTGTGCTTATGGCATAAAGTGATCAATAGTGAAGACAGTAAAGTGAACATTCCGAGTAAAAAGAAAAATTAATGGTTGAATGAACAAAGACTGACATCAGTTGCAACCGTTTCAGCGAGTATTCGTAATTCAACACAAAGTTTTAGATTCGGATGTTGTGCTGCCAAATAACAGAACAATTCTGCGTCTCTGAGATCTTCCGATGACGGCAATTTTTTGAAGTACGATAACTGAAATTTTATTTCATGTTCGATGAGAGCGTTCAGTTGAGGTCACCTCAAAATGTCATTACAATCGCGTCGAAATCGTTCGTGAGTGTGGCAATTCAATAAGCATAGTCAGCACTTCATGAACACACCAACACCCTTCCTAGTGCACATTATCAAGAAGTTTCAATGTGAATCATGCGAATGCAATTCTAAAATTTTTTAAAATCGATTCGGTGGAATGCAAAAAAAGGCGCAATACAAGTCACCACCAAGCTTGCGATTTCGGGGACTAGACTCCGTTTTTACGGCAGGGAAAGAAGCTGATCCGCAGCCGTTTGAAGCTATGCAGTTTTAGCGATACATCGAGTTGATGCAACACAAACAATACTGTGAAGCCGACCTCATCTGAGGTTGGGAAATGCTTGATCAATGAGGTGAGATAATCGACATTTAGCTCAACTGCTGTCTCATGCGATTCCAGTTTATTTATCAATTCATTTGCAGTATCCGGTCGAAATCTAGAAAATCTCAAATAATCCAAGAAATTTTCAATCTGAATATCAGAATGCTTAGAAAATATGTACAACTTGTTGAGGCGAACAGATTTCAATGTTTTGTTGTGATACTTCATGAGGAAACAATGCATTAAATAAGAACATTGAGTAGCACAAGAGCAAGAATTAAGATAAGATGCACGTAGAAGTAAAAAATAGCGATTAACCTCGCTAAAACAATGCCAAGATTGAGTGCCCTTTTTTCGGTGAGATGATGAAGTAAGATGTGATCCTTCTTGGACTCATCAAGACTCTGTCCTCTCAGAGGAAAACCTTTCGACGGGGCACGTTCAAAGACTCTCTCCAACTGAAAATGCCTTGCATCGCTTCCGCAATTCATAAAGTCATGATAGCTACATTCATGCAACTGGTCGCACTGGTTTGCCCATTAATCAGTTATCTGATCAATGCTCACTGATCAGTGCTATGATCTGAGATCAAATTGGGATCAATGCTATGACCTATAGATCTGCAAGTGCTCAAGCATTTTTGATTGCTCCTTCTCTACTTGATTGCCGAGAGGTGATGGATCTTCGCATTGAAGATAATGAAATCGATCATACACCAAATCCTTTAGATCCCAATTTCTCACTGACTATGAGATGATTTTTCCCCATATTCATGAAGAGTGCAAAGTGGAGAAGTGCAGTTGAACAATGTTCTGTTCAATGATAGCTATAGTTGATTAGTGGACAATATTCAATGCACAAATGAGATAATTTAGTTTGATAGTCATTCAATAAAACTAACGAAGTCGCGTTGATATTGATTGAAATCCAAATCGTCCACTCGTTTCTCATTCCAGACTGTTGTTTTTGCCAACAAAATTTCTGGCTTTACAGCCTCCCAATTAATTGTATTTGTTGAACGTTTTTTTCTAGAAAAACATTAATAATATTAGTACTAAGGGCAAAGGATAATCACTGATTAATCAATGAAAAACTAGTGTTGTTGAATGCATTCATAGTGATGAAAATTGTGGTTTCAAACCAGGATCGCCTGCACTCATGGTGCTGTTAAACGCATAACGTATCACATGTCATAGTGAGAAAGCACTTTCAAGCGATTTGAAATGTATTAGGACGATACTGAATTTCGTGAAAACCTGCATAAGTTGCATTTTTGGCTGTGGTGTTCTCAGATGTGCAAAATCTTTCATAATGACGAGTTTCATTTTATTGTTTTATGATCATTTGAAAAAGAACTTCTTTTAAGACTTCATACATAAATGTGATACATCGTTAGATGAAGGGAACTTTATATGTGTGTATTGCGAGGACGAAACATCCGGAATTGATTGCTTACTTATAAACAGATGCGGATTTGAAGATGGTTGGTGAATTCAAGCTATTGTCGTTTTTCGATAAAAGTGACGAATTCAAAAATGCTGGAGATGGAGGAGGAGGTGGTGGTGGAGGTGGGGGTAGGGCAGGAGTTGGAGATAGCGCTGGAGAGAGGGGTGAATGAGGAGGGGAGGCTGGTGGCATGGTCGGGATCGAAGTTGAAGCAGTGGCAGAGGCCGCAGCTGAAGGCTGATCAGTCGATGTGAGTCGAGCAACTGATGGAAGCGAACTGAAATTCTCAGGTAAATAATTGAAGTACGATGGTGAAGAATGATTCGGACGGAAGTGATCGACCTCGATTTTTACAAGCTTATCATATCATCTAATCAAAGAGCATGAGCGTTGCGTCTTGTACAGTATTCGGCGCACCTCAATTAAAACCACGACGAATGCTTTTTTGCACTTCCTCAGTGAGACACACAATGTCCTTTAAGACAAACCAGAGCCAATCATGCACAAACACCGTCGAAAAGTTCACATTCACATGCCATTTTGTTCATTCATGCAATTCTTTGATACCGTG